AAAGGCGCTCTAGGTTTCCTGAGACAGGCAGAGCAAACATGCAGGGGGGGGGGGGGGGCGTCGAGCCGGTTGTTACTCGTTTACTTCGCTCTTTCCTTATCTTCAACTCTAAAAACTTAGTCGTTCATTCTAACTCTTCGAAGAGTATACGTACATATCTCAGTGCAGTTGATGATGGTTCTTAATGCCCCTTTTCCGTTCATTAAGCATGGAAGAGGAATCAAAAACCAGCCTTTTCTCACAAAAATCACCACTACCGAGTTCAGCTGCGAATCGACTTTCCACACCCACAATCAACATCAACCATAAGCAGCTCTGCCGGGTCGATATATCTTATAAACATGAATCAGGTAACAGCCACGGAAAGTTTAGTCTCAGTATACCGAGTGCAACTCAAGACCGAAGAAATGGCGTGTGACATTTCGGGAATGAGAATTCTCGGAGCGACTTATGGTACATCCCGCTTCAGATGTTGAGCAGGCAAGTGAACAAGAAGCTGGCGAAGAGAAAAGTTGTGGATGGCCTTCTCCAAACTGCAAAAAAATTCCATCAGGATGTCAGATAGGTCTTATGGATATTAGGATGACGAGCACAGGGTCTGACGGACGGCAGTCGCTTTTTTATGATTATTGGCAATTATGGTTTCCCTGAACTGTCCGCGTACATGTGTCAAAAATAAGAAGCTGCCGATATATTAGGTCGGTCCATAATTTTTGAGAACCTTTGGTGTTTTCGACTTAATTACTTATCTTATTTCTCTGATGTATTTATTCAGCATAGTATACATCACCATTATTACCAACATATAACCAATGCGAGGGTGGGTATTCAGTGTCTCTCTTGTAGAATTTCATAGAGTTCTGATCGAAGAAATATTGGATGTCGATTTTGACTTTATGGTGATTCAAGTGAGATTTCTTCTCCAGAAGGTGATTGAGAGAGGAGAGCGGATAGTCGTTCGTTGACGCAGGATTAGTGCTACAAGGCGGAGCTAAAAGAACTGACCGCCCGAGAGTCTCCAATTTTTTAGGAATTTTCTTAGCAAGGCGGGCTCGAACGACCTCAGAAAAAATAGATTTTGTCTTCCTTTGCTTTCAAGTTGAAGGCGTTGCCATCAAGCTGTCAACGATTCTTCCCATCACTGACACTGGTATTAGTTGATGCCGGTCTTCAGCGCAAAGGCCCTCCCGTATTGCGCCAACGACTCAGGAAGTTCGAATTCAGAGGGAGTTGGGTTTGTACTGTCAGAACTCCCGAATCGTTTGAGCAAATCTACTGCGGCTCGTGGATTTGTTAGCACATTGCACCCAGTCCACATCACCAATGAGTATTATAGATGGTCATCCGAAGGAACTATAGGAAACCAACAGGAACTTGATGATGTCGGATTGGGTTGAGAACTGATTCGGGACTACAATTTTCCTTCGATCAGAACTCTATGAAAGTCCACAAGAGAGGCACTGAATACCCACCCTCGCATTGGCGATATGTTGTTAATAATAATGATGTATACTATGCTGGATAAGTAGATCAGAGAAATAAGATAAGTAATAAATCGAAAAACACCAAAGGTTCTCAAAAATTGTGGACCGACCTATATATTAACCCAGACTCGTGAAAAGTAGGCAAAAATGATGCCTAGAGAAGGGCAGTTCAGCGGTTGAACATGACAAGAACAACACATGCATATTACAAAACAAAAAGGTGTGACAAGCTCTCAAACATGATCAAAATTGCACATTTATTCAAGCAGGAGAACCTGTACCGGAAGCATTTTACGGAACAACAAAGCGAAAACGGTCATACAACGTAAGTAAACAATAAGTATTGCAACCCTACTTCACTACTACCTACGGAACCTACGTGTTGCTACTAGGAGCTCACAGCTCATGTAGCTCAATCATAAAACTCTACAACAATTTATTTTAAAGCTTCCAATACCGACCGCGCTGCCTCTAGGGTTTTTATCATCCTAAAAAAAAAAGATTTTGTTGTACATCGTTTTTGAACAACAAACTCGATTGTTTAGCAAATTTGTTCTAATTTAAGTGCCGCAATTGGAAGACATTCAAGCATTTTGAATTTATGGGAAAAACTCTTCGCCAAGGGTGATATGATCACTTCGCTCACTGCCTACATAACAGTTACCTCCTGTTATGCCAAGAGGTGATCAGCAAGCTTTCAGATTCCGATTGCTTGGGTTAACAAGTTTTTCGGACTCTGATTGCTTGGTTTGGGCCTTACGCCCTGGGTTCGTGGTTTAGATCAAAGAGGCAACTACTTTGGCCCCGCCCGGGAAACCTACGACAGTTTGCTTGCCCAGACTGACCACCCTCTCCCTCGTTCTCAACCTCTTACACGGTATGTGATATTGCACCAATCCATTGTTCTCATTAATATGTAGGTAGAGGTGGTGAATTCTTCGAGGAGCTTTCATTCACATTCAATTTCAAGGGTCACCAATGCTGACAAATTCTTTATTTCCCTATGGACACAGTCAATTTAGGTCGCTAATCTAGGCGAGTGTTGAAATAACTACTCCTCTGTTTGTTTACTTTAGTTGCTGTGCTGCAGCAGTCAACTTAGTCATTTATACGCACACCCTCTATTCTTAGGCGCACCTTGAGTGTAAATAAATAAATAAATAAATAAATAAATAAATAAATAAATAAATAAATAAATAAATAAATAAATAAATAAATAAATAAATAAATAAATAAATAACCCCCCTTCTCGTCACAACAGGACTAACAGTACCTACTGGCCCACCACCTCTCTCACACCCCACACACCACTTTGTTCACGGTTGAGGTGGAATTTTGCCCCGGTAGTGTAACCGGTAGCACCCCGCTCAGTAAAAGAGTGATGCGGGTTCGGATCCAGGTTATGGCTAGGAGTTTTGCCCTTGACGCACCATTCCTGCAGTAAAAAGTCAATAGCCAAACGAAAGTAGTATCACTGCTTTACAAACCATCAATTAGTGTGTTGTTGCAATACACGCTGCAAATGCCCCTCTTATACCAGGGGATGTGATTAGGGTACTGAGAAAAACTACCTTCAACAAAACAAGAAGAAGGAAACCTCCCAGTATCAAAGTGTCGTGGTAGCGATCTCGTCAACTGCTATGGCGGAAACCCATTGAGACATCCTCGATCGCACCACACGATACAGGAGTCGCGCGCAGAGGTGGGTGGGACAAACCGTCGTAAACCAGGACTCTAGTCATGAGAATTGGCAGCCTGGTATGATTTTATAGACGCGACCTCTCTTCTGCTGTTTTAAGCATACGGCTCCTGTCCATAAGGTGATGGTTCCACTGACGTAAGTGAACCGAGCGAAAGGCGTGTAAGGCAGTAGTGGAATTCCGGCGTATCCAGGAAAGGGGATAGGGAGGCAATACCGGTCAGTGATGGTCAATCAAGGAATCGAAAAGATCAGAATTATTATGATCATTAATCTAGTTGTTAGACATTATAAAGAAAGCTTCTAAGATTTGTAACTGGTACTCACTTTCATGAAGCAAAGACGAATCATAGTTTCATTCGTTGCCTTGTACTCATCGCTATAGAAGGCTGATGGAGGGATAACAGCAAGCTTCTGAAAAGATTTCGAGGTTGGTGAAGCGTTAACGATAAACCTGAGAAAAATTTGCGCAAGTTTCTTGAAATACGACCAATCCTAACTAATAATTTCATTTTTTCTGCACAAATGGGTAATGGCAAATAGCACGGCTTACTATCGCATGGTCTTAGGAATAAATCCTGCATTGTATCTTCCAAACCCACGAAACCTTCCATCCTCCGGAGTTAGCTAACTAACACCGGACTTGCATGGGAGGATTGTAAATCTTGTACTTGTAAATCGGCTGGTCCCGGTATGCATAGCATTCAAAATACCACTACGTTTCGAACGGCGACAGAATGCGTGGCGTAACCAAGAAAAATCGACCAGTGGCGAATGGTCAACTGTTATCTATAATTAATTTTACGAGGGAGGCTGCTTTCCGTGTACCCTTTATTTTGAAATAAAAAGCACTAAAAGTCAATTTCGTTGGAGCATCCTCTTAAAATATTGTTTTTTTTTTCACCACGCACTTCGAGCGAGTGTAATAAATAGGGAGGAAGAAATAGCTCTGTACAATTTTAGCAACAATTTCAAAGATGTGAGAACTGCTTCCAACAAAGGTCAACATTTCAACTTTGTAGTATTCAGTAGGAAGTCTTAGCCGAAATCTGCTCCCGCTCTCACATAAATGCTTTCTGAATCAGATACCGCCCCGAATCCAGCTCTCCAAATAATAACATCAACCATGGTATGAAGAATGTAACATTTTCGAGAAACGCACTATTCGAGTCATATGGACCCATTAAAAGTAAGCATTTATCAACTGTGAGCCCTTCTAATTTGTATTTTTACAAGGAATGCTCAATTGGTCAGTCCGGCCATTTGTAATGAGGTGTAGTCCGATGGACGCGTCTTGCGACGCTGAGCTCAAATCCGTTTTCGTTATCTGCGGAACGATTCTCTGAAAGAAGTTACGAGGGAATCTTCTCACTATGGCTTTTTCACTGTGGCATCCTCTACATTCCCCTATCCTCCACGGTTCGCATAAGAAGAGCCAGAGAGCATCTCACAGTTGGCAAAGGTGGCCTAGTGGATATCTCCTAGACTCATATGAGAGGTCACATGATCGGATCCTTGGAAACGCAAATTTTTGCATTTTTTCATGGCTCCTCACACGAGCCCAAAAGTGTCTATATTTGGTTATTTTGTTGATTTGCGTCCCCACTTGACATATGGCTGAGACAGACTTTGGAATTTCCTCTCGTCCTTCTTTTTAGGTTTTCTATTATGATGAACTTTGACACACGGGACAAAACACAAGGACACAGGCTCGTAAATATACAAAATTTCAATAACTTGCGAGCATATGTGATAGTTCTTCACATGGTGATCAAAACAAAACAGCTTTTCGCAGTGTGCACAGGGAATAAAGAAAGATCTAGGGGATGTAGAGGGTGCCACAGTGAGAAAGCCACAAAGAGAAGAATCCCTCGTAACTTCTTTCAGAGAATCGTTCCGCAGATAACGAAAACGGATTTGAGCTCAGCGTCGCAAGACGCGTCCATTGGACTACATCTCATTTCAAATGGCCGGACTGACCAATTGACCATTCCTCGTTAGATAAATAAGAGCTGTATTATATTCTCATTCATTCTCTCTCGTTTTGATGGCTCAGTGTGGCAATCGGTAGCAATAACGCCTGTTTTTTTTCAATTTTCAACTTTGAGTTGAGTTATACCTTCCTGAGCAGTCGCATAAAGGATAAAAGCTGATTCGAATGCTGCGGATTGCATTTGGCTTGACCAATCCTTTCGAGATACGCAACGCGTTATACTTCCATTCAAATTCGCAGTGGTATTTTGAATGCGATGTGGCCTATACAATGACTTGCGGGGGCCAGCCGATGTACAAGTCAGTGTTTTTATCCTCCCAGACAAGTCTGGTACCAATTAACCGACCCCGGAGGGATGGAAGGCTCGCTTGGCCTGGAGCTCGCACTTTCCAGGAGTCAATCCTTGCCACTGCACCACTTTCGCCCGGAATACGCACACAACATTTGCAATTTCGAAAACTTGATGCATTCTTTTACTTCCACTCTTCGTGTGCCGCCAATAAGTGGGACTTGAAAGCATCTTCGCAGCCTTCACCCAATAATCTATTCAACATCATCACAAAATATACCTTCTCACGGCAGAGCCACCTAGCAAATCGAAAGTCGAGAGGATCGTTTGTTGAATCTGCCTTTTTGAATGGTCCGTCTGGAAGGCATTGAGGAAGTAAATCAGGATCAAAACACCAAGAAAATCAATAAAAGAATAAAAATGCTGACCTAGCTTTCCGAATTGAGCCAACATGAAGTATCCCGCCTCAGGACGAATCGGTTCAAAACCGGCATCATACATCATCTTATACATCTTATCACATTTGATTCCAAGCTCGGTAGGGAGACCAGTTAAGAGGTAGGAACGACTTGGATCAGATTTAAATAAAACAAGCCTTAAATTTATAATTAAAGATGTAATAATTTAATGTATATACATGAATAGACCAACTCTTTTTCAAAGGCGCACGCGAGAGCCTCTTGGGTTGGAGTACTGCATGTGAAAGACACAGTTCTGGTGTATCCTCTGAACATTTATTCAATGTGTTTCTCTTGAATAAATGAATAGTGAGAGCATAGAAAAGGAAATGAACCTTCAGTGGAGTCAAGAGATGTTCTGGACCAACACACCAACCCAACTTCCATCCTGTTACAGAGAACGCTTTTCCTGCACTGCCAATTGAAATTGTTCGATCATACATTCCAGGAAGACTAGCTAAACAAAATAACGTGAACAGCTAAAATGTAAAACCGCTTTATTATAGACTGAAACACATCAATTTGGAAGCAAAGCTCTTTTTCTTGACCCAGGTGTTCGTTCATAAGTATTATATCTCCTAATGGTGGTTTTCAACGTTTATCTCGTTCAGTCATTACATTTGATCTGTTTAAATTTGCCGTCTTATGTTTTTGCCAATAGCTTGTTCCATTTTCGTTCCTTTCCTTCTTTCCGCACGGCTAAATTGAAATCCTTTCCGTTTCTAGCACCTCAAATACAGGGGGGGGGGGCAAAAAAGTCACTTCTGCCCATGGCGCACATCATCAAATTTTTCGTCGCATAGATGCCGCTGTTGATGAATGTTTTACGGCAGAATATTCCTTAGTGTCCCTCCAGAAGCAGAAGCAGGCCCTCCTTCACTGCCCCCACCGTCTTCAGAATATGACGTCATCTGCCGTCACCGTCGAGCTCAACGAGGCTTACCGTAATCGCTCCGGCCTGAAGCTGCTACATAATTTCTTCAAGATTACTGGTGAATAGCTTCCCAGAGACACTAGCTGTGACTGTGCAAGACCGCTTTTGACCAGCGTTTCAGGGACGTCGTAATGGTCTATGGTACCTCGACGACCTCGTTGAGCTCGTACCGTGAACCATGTTTCCGTGGGAAAATCTTCTGATGTCGTCGGTGTAGAAGGCTGTTATGTAAGCTTTTGATAGATTGAATCTCTTCAATATTCAGTTGGGCTCATTTGGTTTGGTTTCGCAACGCGTAAATAATTCCGTTTGAATGTGGAGGGAAGTGACTCTTTTTTTGCCCTGTACATCCACGTTCACCAATCCGCTGTACCACAAGACCAGTCGATTTTCTGGCTATGACACCACACTGAACTTCTGTCACATTGGCAGACTCCACCCGAATCGCTCGCGTTTACGGTCACTCATGAAAATCTCTTTTATCTGCCCTTTGCTCCTTCCGCCGAGCGCTAACTGTGGCTGTCCACAAGCTATTCCAAGTGCTGAAATTAAAAAGCAAAACAAGCACAAAATTCTGCCATATTCCACACGTCCCCCAGTTCGTTACAGCGTGAGTGCTATACAGCGACCGTAGCGATTGCACTATCCAACAACATAGCAGATCATTCATCGTACTCGACTAATTACGTTACGAAATGAAGAATGGCAGGTAGCCAATTGTACAACAAATTGCACAACAAGCCTAGAATCTACCGAAGTAGATTCTAGACTTCAAGCAAGCGAGGAAAAGACGACTGCCCACAGATCACTCGCCTTTGAGCGATTGAAAAATCTTCTCAATGGAGATGTTCAAACGTAACTTCCTTCAATACGCAAGAGCAAACGCCCCCTGCGTGAACCACGGTCAGACAGTGCATCTGCGGTCGTTTCTTACGAAGTCTTGCATCATCATTTTCCAACGAGAAAGATCTCTCTTCACCAGTGAAGAGGACGAAGCTCGCATCGCGCGATACTTCGGCGTCAGGGAAAGATCCCTAGCTAGTAGAGTCCACCCCCGAGTCGTTCGTTGAAGGACACCGCATTTTCCAGGAAAGACCTATTTGCTCATCTTCCGTGAGCTCGACAAAACTCCAGACTAATCGACCAGCTCGATCAATTCTTCGTATAAATGAAGCAATCACTTTATATTGTTCAACAAAGAAAAGGTAATGGAACTTTTGAGACCCGACGTATTAAAATCAGGTGGAAGTCATACTTGGTAATTGGGCAATGGCCGACACTAACCTCCATCTAATGGAGTACAAAACGAAATAGTGCATAGTATTTCATATGTACAATAGAACAAGCACTTCACTTGAATTGCGTAGATCTATAGAAATTATTCCGCGGTTTGGACTCAGGTTTTGAACTTGCGCCTTTTAGTTCCCCACTTCTATGAAGTATGTTCACGTGGAAGTTGAATTTAGGTAGTGAAACGTTGTCGCACGTCTCAATTCAAAGAACGTTACACATTCAATAAATGGGAGCCAAATAATGTCAAGTTCTTACCGAAGCGAATCATCTTCTTATTCCATACATGCCATTCGTAAACTTCATCTGCTACCACAATCAGATTGAAATCACGCGCCATTTCAGCGATAGCTTCGAGTTCTTCGCGAGAGTACAAGTTTACCCGTTGGATTGTTAGGATTATTCAACACAATCATCTAAAAAAAGGATCTCAGAAATCACTCTGAAAGAAGCTATTCAGCACTTACCTTTGTCCTTTTTGTACATTTTGCCCGCAATTTACTGATGTCTATTTTGAAATCGCTGCTCGATTGAGCGGGTTGTGAGACCTCCATGGCATAATGAACCGGAACGCCTCCAGCCATCCTGACTTGCGGATCATAACTATCATAAGCAGGGTCGATAACTGAAAAAATAATCTCAAAAAGCTGCTTTTCACCATCGCACTGTTATTGCCCTGTACACACACTCTACCCCAAAGAAAAACTGAATTACAAACTGAATCTGCTACTGCAAATGCTTCGCAGATTGAATTTCAAAAAGGACCATGTGAATGCTCTCGTCTTTTAAAAGAATGCAACACAACCAGTTCGCTGAAAGAAAGTCGGCTTGGCAACATGGCCCGCCTGCCCCCCCGCTCGACGGCTATTTTTGGGGAAGAAGTAGGCGGAGTTTCGGAGTTTTAGGTAGGTTTTGGGCTGTGTCAACTGGTCTCAGAATCAAATACTATAGAAGAGGGAAGGTCGCGGTGGGGGATGGCTGGTGTTGTATTGGGGGGTCGCAATTGTGTATTGGTGGGGGTCGCAATTGGACCCCTTCCAGAGGGGGGGGGGTCGCAAAAATCCCAGAAAATGTTCGAACGTGACGGTTGACCCTGGTCGTGAGGCATGCGTCGAGTGTGCAGGAGCCTCTCTCTCTACCCGCTC